AATAGTCAATAATTCATTCAAGAATAGATTATGGGTGTTTGGTATGGCTCAGTGGCTAAAATGGGTTGGATGTTAGAGAAATTACTTAATTTTCAATTACCTGAATGTACAAATTCCTTCATTTATAGTTAAACTTTAGGAAATCAACTTTTTTTTTCCTTGTGAAAAAAATATCAAAATTAACTTTAAAATCCAATCCAGGATTAAGTAACAACTAGCAACACCCTAACTGTACTACGTTTTGTGTTTCCAACAGATGCTACGATGACTTCTAGAAATGGATGTCCCAATAAACACAATAAAAAAATTCAATGATGCATCAAATGTTGTCTGAGTATGTTTTAAGGTAATAACAAATGTGAAATCTGGAAAACAAAGAGAATTCCTGAATCTGTCTTGTGTGCTTTGATGTGTACATAAGTTTATTGGAGGTCCTGAAACAACTTCTCTGAGAACACAAAGATTTTTATTTTACCTTTGGCCAAGATGTCAGTTTGAAATCAGGCTGCTTACTGCAAAACCAAGAGGTTTTTTAAGACGGTCTTCATTTGTATTGTTTTGTCGACTAAGCTAAATGTAATTTCTAAAATATGGATAAATCTGATCTCATCATGCAGCATAAGCAACTGGGTACAGGTATGAGGGCCAAAAGTCTGGTTATGTACTGACTCCTAAATGTGCTTGTTTTCTACTGAAACATGGAGTAGGGTTGACCTTTAAAATGTGAGACAGCTGAGGAAGTTAACCAGTAAACAGAAATACCGGCTCCAGGTGCAGAAATCTGACAGAACCTGAGAATCACTCATCTGCAGTGACTGCAGGTTGAACAAGAAAATGTGAAGTTAAAGGAAACATCCTTTGTCCCAAGGCCAGTTTAAGTATCATTAATATTTTTCTTTCTTTATGAATCGATTGTAACTTTGTTCACATTTTTCAACAACCAAAATGGAATTTTTTTTTTAATGTTATGGCTAGGTATTAAAAAAAACAACAACATTTAGCTCTCCCCACTACACAGTTATGTTGCTCTTATTTTGAAATGTAACCGGAAGTTCTGTGTTAAGAGAGGCGGAAAAAGAAGTTATGGAGACGCCGCGGCAGTATACTGGAGCAATGTTGAACCGAGACGCCGCTAATGTCGAACCGGTTAACACCATAGACATAATATGCCTGTGGGTAACACAATCTGCCAATAACGACTTGTTTTTAGACATAATGTGTCAGTGGTTACGGCATTTTATCGTTCAGCCTTTTTTTCTATCGTCCAATCAGATGTGGCCGGCCAGACACGCCTATTTTTATATCGTCCAATCAAATATGGCCAGCCAGACACGCCTATTTTTCTATCGTCCAATCAGATGCGGCCGGCCAGACACGCCCATTTTCCTATAGTCCAATCAGATATGACCGCCCAGATACGCCTTCCGAATTTGGCTGCAGAGATACCTACTTGCGGAGAACAGCTAATCAGCTGTATCAGGTAGGTTATTATGCAGTGTGGGCTGCACAAAGGTGCAGCAGGTGCTAAATTATTTAAAATAATTTATTTTAAATAAAAATTACATGCCAATCAATCAGCCAGTTGTATGTCATGTCCAATCTTATTTTGAAAACCCGCGCTAGAGCGAGTCCGCGATAAACGAACTGCGAAGTACCGAGGGGCTACTGTACTTCATTTCTTCTATTTACTTTTCATTTTATATGCTTTAATTACATGACTGTGTTATTGTCTACTCCTCTTCTGTTCTTTGTTTAAACCAGGTCTCTCTGTAAAGGAGTCCTCGAGGCTCAAGGACACTAACTGTAGAAATAAAGGTTGAATGAATGAACAACAGTAACATTAGCGCTGAAGTAGTAAAAGTCATGAGACCAATCTGAACAAGCTTTTGAACACCGAATGGTTAGACGTGCTGAAAGTATGCTGAAGTACCAAGGTAGGTAGTTAGAAGAATGTTCGGGACAAACTTTAATCCAGAAACACTGGTGTGAACTTTGTCTCAGTAGTTACACAATTAAAAATTACTTTTGTCGTCACTAAAACTGGCCGTTGTTAATTAAAACAAGTTGTGATTTGATGTAATATTTATAAAATGTTTTACAACAGAATGAATTGTAAAATATTTTGATCCGTTTTCCTTTGAAACCTTTATGAATGACACAATTCACTACTTTAGCATTGAAAACATAAGTGAAGGTGAGCGACAGCTCGGAGTCACCTGAGGTATCCTTGAAGAAGCAGGCGGACGATCACGGCCTCGGCCTGCGGGCGAGACAGCGCTGTGGTCTGAATCATCTTCCTTCTCTTGGCAGGACCCCTCCCCATCCAGGCCTCCAGCAGCTTCAGGGGTGTCAGCTTCTCATCCATGGAGGCAGCCAGCTCCAGGACATGCAGCACTTCCCTCGCATGCTGCGTTATATCCAAATTGACGTGGTCTGGAGCAGCAAGACATAGAACCAGCTTCACACACATGCACATATCATTTTATTCAAAGAGACAACAGTGAAGTGGAAAAAAGACAAGAACATTTGTTCTCTAGAAGTTATTTTTCACCTTTTATGTTTTTTTTAACTTTTATTGCCGAACAAAACAAAGCAAATCACATACAAACTGTTTAGTCTTGAGACTGGGCCATCTCTTAAACAGCAGAAACAAAAACACAATATACACTTGTCAATGTACAGGGTCAAATAAAAACAAAAATAAAAAACAACAAGAGAGCCTTATTTAAGAAAGTCCACAATAGGTCCCCACACCCTTTCAAAACCTGGAGTTTTAAACTGAAGTTGAACTGTTAATTGTTCCATCATGTAAACATTTCTTATTTTTGGAATCCACTGATCAATAGTTGGTGGGTTGGGTTTCATCCAATTGACCGTGATCATTTTTCTTGCCGTCATGAGGAGATTATGTATCAGAGATCTTTGGTCATTAGTGAGATAATCAAGGAACTCATCAAGTAAAAAGATGACAGGGTCAAAAGGGATTTGTATCTTCAACAACCTTTCCAACACATCCCTGACACCTTTCCAGAAGTCCTGTACCTGAGGGCAGTCCCAAAATATGTGAGTGTGGTCACCCACAAGACCACATTTTCTCCAACAGTCACCATTATTGTCATGCCCAGAGAGAGAAGTCTTCAGTGGGTTTAGAAAAAACCTGATTTTGCTTTTCCAATCAAACTCTTTCCAGAGTTGGCTCCCGATTCCCCTGTGGCAACCAAAACAAATATTCTCCCAAGAATCATCATCCAAAATGACATTTAATTCCATTTCCCATTGTTGTTTAATGTGTTTAGTGCTGTCTGATACATCCATCACCAGTTTTTTATACATCAAAGAGACTTGTTTTTTCAATGTTCCAGAGTTTTTGATTAAATTAAGTGTTTCTCTATATTCGTGGGTTCTCTTATAATACTTTCCCAGTCTGTATGCTGTGATAAATAGTGTCTAATCTGTAGAAATCTATGCATATTGCCTGGAGGGAGATTAAATGTGTCTTTTAATTTGGAAAAAGTCTTAAGCATATTGCCTTCAAATAACTGATTTACTGTAATCAGCCCACTTTCAGCCCATCTAATAAAAGCCCCACCTGATAAAGATGGTAAAAACTCGGGGTTATTGTTAATGGGAATTGCCCTTGATTGAGCAATAGTTCCCTTCACTTGTTTCTGTATATGGTTCCATACCTTGAGTGTGTGCCTGACCCAGATGTTAGTTATTTTAATTTTTTTCCTGAAATTGCAAACTAAGAAAGGGAAGAGTTGATAGACTTACACCTGGTAGTGAGTATTCCTCGATGGAGACCCAATGAATTTCTGGATCCTTGACAATCCATGCCACTATTGCTCTTATTTGAGCAGACCAATAATAGAGTCTCAAATTAGGGAGTCCAAGTCCTCCCCTTTCTTTACCAGACATCATAATTTTAAGTCTCACTCTTGGCCGTTTGTTCTGCCAGATGCACTTTGATATAATTTTTTCTAAGGATTTAAATATATATTGCGGTAGATACACTAGTAGTGACTGAAAAAGAAACAACGATCTTGGTAAGATATTCATTCTAACACATTCGGTGCGTCCCAGGAGTGAAAGAGGAAGCATATCCCATCTGTTTAGATCTTTTTTAATTTCTTCTATTAATTTATTGTAATTAGAAGAGCGAAGCTGTGTTACTGTGGAGGCAAGAAACACTCCAAGATATCTAAATCCCTGTTCAGACTTTTTAAAGGAGACCAAATCATCTAACTGGGAGGGCCAACTACCTGTAACCATCATGGCCTCAGATTTATTTATATTGATTTTATATCCAGATACTATACTGTATTCTTTAAGATTATGAAGAAGAGCAGGAACAGATGTGTTGGGATTCTCTAAAAATATTAGTATATCATCAGCAAATAGTGATAATTTGTGTTGAACATTAGCTTCATCACGTATACCCTGAATATGAGGATTAGTCCTAATCAGTTCAGCCAGTGGCTCTATACTGAGTGCAAATAACGAGGGTGACAAAGCATCCCCCTGTCGAGTACCACGTCCCGATGGAAAAAACTCAGAGCAGTG